TCCCGCTTCCTGGTGGCTGAGTTAGGGCCATCAGGAGAAGGTGTTTAGAGAAGATGTACACCCCCTACGACATGGCTGCTAAGAACTTCCCTCCCATCCCTCACCTTTCCTGTTTAACTTCTGCTGGCTGGATAGGGAACTTGAGGCCCTACAGAAGGGCAGGACTGAAAGATGGGAGGAGTCTGACTTCTGAAAGACCACATGCAGGAGTGCCTGCCAAACAGGATGCCTGCGTTTGACTTTAAGCATGTGGGAGAAATGACCTTAGGCTGTGCTAAGCCAATAAGGCTTAAGCATTTATCTGTTTTAAGTCGGTTACTATATGCTGACCACTATATCTCCCTATACTAAGAGGAGAGTAGGAGCTCATGAAAATTCAATCCCTGGACATCAACTTTGATTTGACAAACTGCTTGACTAATCCCACTGCATCTCCTCCTTTACCTTCACTTTCTCAAATCTGGAGTACCTAGGTGCCCTGTCTAATGCAAAGGCTTCCTGGAGCCCAGAAAACTAAACTTGCAAGGGCTTCCTTCTGAGCAACTACAGGGACATGAATAGGGATAGGCCTGCTCTCAGTCCTTGAGAGCTCTCACTGCCCACAGCATAGGAGTCAGCAACACTGACCCTCCTTCCATCAGGATCCCTGCTTCACTCCTATAAGGTGTTCAGGTCCCAGGGCCTCATTTCTCAACTTGATACAGTGTTTCCTGTCACTGACCAGGATAAACCTTCCCTGAAAATTAAAGTCTCTTATATTGGTTTTCTATTGCCAGGCAATAAATCAGCACAAATTCAGGAGCTCGGGCAACACTAATGTATTATCCCAGGTTCCATGTGTCAGCAGTTCGATGTAGGTTAACTGAGTCCTTTGCCCAGACTCACCAAACCCATTTCATGGTGTCACTCAGGCCTCTGATCCTCATCTGAGTCTCACTGGCTGGTGGAAAATTTGTGTTCTTTGCAATTCTAAGTCTGAGGCTCTTGTTTTCTTACTGGTGGTTAGCCAGGAGCTTCTCTCTAAAGCAACTTGAAGGTGCTGTCAGTTCCCTGCCATGGGTTCCCAAATACGACAGGTTATTTTCCTCCTGCCAGTGGGAGCAAATCCTTGACAATGCACCTTCTTTTAAAGGGTACACCAGACTAAGTCAGACCCACTCAGGGAAACTCCCTATGGATCAATTCTAAGTCAACTGATCAGGGACTACTCATAGGAGTGATATTCCATTACATTCTGTGGCTCCACCTGCACTCAAGGAGAGAGGATCATAACAGGGCCTGTGTGCTGGGGCAAAATCTTCCAGCTCATCTTGGAGTTCTGCTTGCCACAGCATTCCCTTCTTCTTTGTGTTCATTATCATAAATTGCAACATAATTGTACATCTTTGTGTCTTTCTTATTATGGTACTGTCAATCCTTGCATAGCACCTGGAAAACAGCTCTTTAGGGTTTTATTAATGGATTAATTAATCCCATGGTTGTCTGGATTGAATGTGGAAGGTCCTTTTAATTTATTAGCCATGTTTACATATTAGTCTTCTTCATTGTGTTTTCATTTTTGTGAAACTCAGTTGTGAAACGTATTTTTTTTCTTGCCATTGTTTTGATCTCTGGTAGTGAATCTGTTTAAGGACCTTGCCAGCTGTGCAGTGCCTCCGGTGCTCTTTCAGGTAGGGATCCAGTGGGAAATACGTGGAAACTCCAGCTGATACAAAGATACCTCTTATGTAGATAGGGGCAAGGTATAGAGATGTCATCATGCCTTTACTACCTCCAGGCTCCAAGGGTTGTGGGACATAGGATGGAAGAATTTCCTGTTATGTGTAAGGATTATGTAGTGGGTTGAGTGGTGCCCCAACCCCCAAAACAGGTCTAAGTCCTTACCCCAGATTCTGTGCATTCAACCTTATTGAGAAAAAGGGAACTTTGCAGTTATAATTAAGCATCTCAAAATGAGATTATCCTGTATTTAGGGTAAGCCCTAAATCTAATGACAGGTGTCATCCTAAGAAAAAGGCTGATGGAAATTTAAGACCCAAAGACACACAGAAGAGAAGATAATGTGAAGATGGAGGCAGATCTACAAGGCAAGGAATACCAAAGATAGCTAGCAGCCACCAGAAGCTAGGAGAGAGACATGGAGCAGACTCTCCCTCAGAGCCTTCATTTCAGACTTCTGGCATCCAGCACTGTGGAGCTCTGCATTTCTATTATTTTGGCCCCTGGGTTAATAGAAAATGGTGCCTTGGGACACCAATACAGGTGTCATGGTGGCAGAACAGCATATGGACAGCCTGGGAAGCCCCGTCCCAAGAGCTCAGAGTAAAACCCTGACCTCGCTCTTCCCCTCACCTCTGGGCCCTTACTGGGGTTCATCATTGGCCACACCCTGCCAGGAATCAGAGGATCAGGTAGCTCACTGATGTGCTAGAGAGACGAGGTCAGCTTCCTGGGAGAGAGAGAGAGTGAGCGAGCCTGTTGGGGAGGCTTAGGAGGGACTGAGGATACACGGCACATCTCTTTTTCAGTTATAGATAGGGGTACCCATAAATCCTCATTTATCTGGAACAGGTTTGGCTTTTACCTGTTGTCCCAGTTCCCATGTTAAAAAGAATTAATTTTGCCCCTTTTCATCCTCACTCAGACTTGGTTAATTAGAGGGTCAATTTAGTAATAGGTCCACATCCAAGTAGATCTTCATTCAAATGGAGGTGGAAGTTCTGTAGGATATGGTGAGCCAGACAGATTACCTCTCCTGATTTCCCTATGGTCCTAGACATTGTTGACAGGTGTAAGACAACTTCAAACCTTTTGAAAACACTGGACAGGAACATACCTTACTGTATCATATGCCCCATAATTTCTGCATTTAGCTATTTTCCCTTCATCATGGAGATCCTTACATCAGGCACACTGACCTCCCTTGTTTGTTTTAACCCTGAACAATACTCTTTAATTTATTTAAACACTGCCTGATTGGTGAACATTTGTCATTTGAACTTCCCATGCAAACAGTGCTCAGTGACCATTCTGGTGCACACCCCTTTGTGTATATGTGTAGACTTCTAGCCTGTTTAATTGGCCATGTGCTGGTACTCGAGCTACCTGTAAAAGGAAGCTAGGGCTTAAAAATAAAAATCTTCCAGGAAGGTGGACCTGACAATATGGACCTGATCAAAATGTTGGGAGGATGTTTTTCAAGATGTTTTTAGGCCCTTAGACAGATGTCCACTGTAGGTCAAGAAGTGGGATTGTTTGCATTCTAAAGTGACTGTAAAACAATTTATGTCACTGTCTATAATTTACAATTCCATTTTCTCTACATCTTGTCCCACAGTAGATATTATTTTTAAATGCTTTTGACAATTTGGATAATCTGATGGGGGATCTTACTTTATGGAAATCCATTTTTCTTCAAAATGGGCTGAGATTTTTGACCTTAAGATCTTGAATTCTAAGACCTATTAATATCCTTTGTCCTTATGTTAGACTTATTTCTGCTGGCCTGTTAATATTTGAACACCTCTATATACCTGGATATCGATTTTTTTGCCTGAAACGTATGTGGAAAATATTTCTTTCACGGCGTCTCTTTTATCCCTTTAATTATGACTTTTAGTTATAAAAAAAACATAAATGAAATGTGTAATCTTTTCAGAACTTTTTTTGCTCAAGAAAGCTTTTCATGTTCTTCATTATAAAATATATTTATCATTTTCAAAACATTGTAGAGTCATATTGCTCACTTTAACCTTTTAATCATTTATTATTTATTTTGTGCATTGCTCACTTTTTTTTGTGTAAGTTTTTATTTTTTTTCTCTGTGGGGAGCCCATTATTTCTCAGATTAATTGAAGAGTTTGTCTTTAACACATGCTTCATTCTCATATTCTATATTTCTCTTTCTGGAGTTTCGATTATATTACACTATGTTGATTTGGGGTGAATGGTAGTTACTTGATCCTATATCATGCTGTTTAATTCTTGAATTAATTTCATAATGTACTGTGAAAGCTAGAAGTGCAATACCTTCTGGGAGAAAACAAGTCCAGGTCTCTTTTTTTGTATTTCTTTTTCAGATATATTTTAGAATAGGTTTGCTGAATTCTGTAAAGATTATATTGGAAGTTTTTAATGGGCATATTATATATACATCTATATGAAAATGCAAGTATGTTTTGTGGAAAAAATTATGAGATACTACGTTGGAAGAATTTCACTAAATATCAGAGGCTTATTTAGAAGTTTAGAAGTAGAGTACAAATTACTTGTTAAAGCAACCAAGAAGTGAATTCTGAGTTTCTTCATGACTCCCATGACAGTTTTCAAGATGGCAATAAAAATGTGGGATCACAGATGAAAAATGATGGGGGAGAGCATAGGATCTACATGTAAAGGGAGAAGAGAGAAAGATTAGAAGCATTTTGTCCCAGGTTTCACTCGGATTTGCACTCACAATGTAAGCTGCAGTCAGGAGTGTGGAGAACCATCATCCCACCCTGGGGCACAGATCAAGGTGTGAAGCACACCCTCTTTAAAAGGACTGGAAACAATTACACTGTTCTTCATGCATATCAGGTATCCATCCCCTGCTTTCTACCCATTTTTTTCTAAATCAGTCACATTCCCATTCTTTGCAGTGAAGTCTTTGGAGCCCAGGGAACAAAGCAGAGTTTTGATTCTGAGACCTACAAACTTATGTCTTTGTTCTGTCTCTGACCAGCCATGAGTCTTTGGTCGAATTCCCCTTTAGAGTCTTTGGATTTTCATATGTAAGATGGAAAGTCAACATAGCATACCTCATGAAGTTATGGTAAGCAGTGATGTACAGAATAACAATTCTAGTCAGGTTGGTGAAGTTCATTGTTCACATGGACCTGAAAGAGAGTGGGCATGCTTTAGACTGCTGATACCTCCTGAGACAGAAAGGGAAACCTAATTGGAAGTAAATAAGACTTTATTAATAATCCATTTTGTAGAGGCGACTAATATTCTGGAATCTGCAGAGGAAACTAGAGATACATGCATTGCTCTTAGACAGCCTAACTCTCAGGTAGTGAGGCAATACCCTCCCAAGAGAAACAATATGACGCACAGGACAAAAAGGATATTTGCAGCCTGGGTAAAATGACAACAGATTTGGATAAATTGCTGATGAATTCAGATTCAAGGAATATGTGAGAATTTTCAGGGTGGTAGACCTCTTGTTGGTGGCTCTATAAGGGGACTTAACGGTGGCATGAAATTACAATGCATAGGGAAAATGTGACTGGCAGTGGGTTTTGTCCAGAGTACTATCTGGCAGGCTTGAGTCCAGGATCTAGTAAATGATCTAGTCTACTCTGGTGGGGCTGATGGTAGGCAATTAAGTAGCTGAGCACTTTGCTTTGACTGGATGAGAGGACAGGAATGAGAATGTGGCATTCAGTGAAAGTTTGCTTTGAGACAACTTGACAGCAACTTTGAGACAAATATGAAAGTATTAATTCTGACTTGCTGTATAAATTTGAAACCATGATAATACACCCAAATTAGAACATATATACACACATATATGATTCTGATAATTTCATCCAGGGTGGTGTGAGTTGAGCTGAATCTGCTTATGACATTGCATTTGAATCAATTAGTTGATCGACCGAAATACCCATCATTGCAGTTCCAATTTGCTCTTTGTTCCTTAGTGAGAACCTTGAGAAGCAGCTAGTGATGGCATTCCTGCTGCACTCTGCTCTGCTCCTTTCAGAGGCCTCCTGTTGTTCTCTTCCTACCATGGTTATTTCTTACATGCTTCCCTGCTCTTGGTTCTCTTATGCCTCTTCCTCTTCCCCTCACTCATAGTGTCCCATCTGTTACTTCTCCATGCCATTCTCTTCCTATGTCCTCAGTAACTAGAGGCTCAATGACAGACAGGGCAATTGTTGGGATCAACCGTTGGTCTTTGGGGCCATTACCTTCATTGGGGAGCAACAAATGTGCCATACATGTGGCTGAGAGGATCCATTGCAGGGCAGATGGGGTGAAGTATGTGCTAGGCACTCTAGGCCTTATCTCGAGGTGAGCTCTTTGCAAGCAGAGGAGCCTGGTCTTCCTTCTCTGGCTGCTCTATTTCCTGCAACAGCCTGTAGAGGGGCTCTGGAGTGCTCTGGTGATAGGGAGCTTCTTTAGACCCCATCATCTTCAAGCTGGAGTAGTAACAACGATGCCAAAAGTAAGAGAAACCATAGATTCCAAACAGACACAAGGCGTCAAACATCACATGCCAGCAGAAGAAGGTGGTGACAAACATGAGATCATTCATGTCATCATCGTCCCAAGGGTAGCCAGAGACTGGTCTGTACAGAATAAAGCCTGTCTGTATCAGCCAGGAGCCCATGATCAGAATCAGCAAAGTCTCCATCATCCAGAGTTGAAACATCTCAGGAGCCCAGAGTTCTACAGTTAACACCAGCAACAGCAGGAACACCACCAAGATGAGCAGATAATGAACTTGCAGCTCTATCCCTGAGGACCCCTTAGCATGTGACACCATCAGTAGCAGGAGCTCATAGAAGGACAGGGCCAGGGCACCTTTTTCTAGGACCACACACCTCTGAGGGAGCATGTTCTTGCTCATGACATCTACACAGCCCATGAGTATGAGGAGGGTGAACATGGTGAGGTGCTGCCACTCTTTGGAGTACAGAAACCTTGGTGGCAGCTCCCTGTCCATCAATATTATTCCTCCTTCAATGCAGTTGTTGACATAAACCACTAAGAGAGAGCCAGCCACTATCTTCAGCAAACCTTCATAGGATATTTTCCACAGCCTGGCCCATCTCCCTTTCTTCTTGGGAGGGCACAAAGATTGGAGTGAGTCACTGAATATCACTATGGCCTGATACAATCCATTACAGAAAAGAAATAGCCCTGGGTAAGCATGACCGTGGAATTTCCCCATGAAATTACTGGTCTATTTGATTAAGGAGGTAAGAAGAAAATTCAGGACTTCTCTGTTCTCCTTCCCCTCATGGGCCCCTCAAGTTTTTAGTGCTATGCAGAGCTAACTTCTTTCTACTTTTATTACCTCCCTCTGCCCACTGCACTCTCCCACATAATGGAAAGTTCTGGACAGGTGCCTACACTCTGTGTGAAAGGAGTCTTATTGTTCCATTCCATTCTGGAACACTGGGAACGGACTGACTTCTGCCACAGAAGGAAGGTGAATATTTCTAAATGTGCACCTGCAGGGATGTATACTCTCAGGATTGCTACCTAGGGGCCCTTTAGGAGCTTCTGATGACAATTCATGGCTTGTTTCCTTCTGCTTATGCCCAGTTCTCAGATAATGCGAAAGGTATCCGATCATGAAGATTATCCAGAGGATTGGGTTATGTACAAATTTTTGTGCATCCTGCAAGACCTCTTATTCATATCTTGGGTCATATACTGAAGACAGATATATTCTTTATGGAATAAAAGTTATTAACGTGGGTTTGTGTTCACATATGCAGATACCAGAGTTCCTTCTTGGTCTTATCATTCTTCTGTTAACAGAGAGATTTTAGAGACCACCAAGAAAGTGCTTGCCTCTCCCCCTGTCTCTCTCCACTGGATAATAAATGAACCTAAAAAAAAAAAATCTTCTGAGTTCAATTTTAGAGTGTTATGGTGCAATTTATTATAAAATGCATATACAGGTATGTGAGGCAAGTAGATCCAGTGAACTGCTTATATTTTATAATGTGAATTAATGCCTCAACTTTATTCTCTTTGTCTAATACTTAGAGGTAAAAAAGTCCTGGGAATTATATAACAGCCAGCTTCATATGAGGGAATGCATCCAAGGCAAGAATTTTTTTAAAATAAAAATTGTTTATAATTATGGTACACAATTTATTGTTTTCATATACATTGTGAAATGAGTACAGTCAAGCCATGACATACCTGTCACCTTAAATAATTACTGTTTTGTGGTGAGAACATTTAAGATCTATTCTGTCCGAAAATTTCAAGTATATAATGCCTCATTATTAATCTCAGTCATTGTGCTATCTATTAGCTCTCTAAAACTTATTCATTTTACATGACTGTAACCTTGTACCTCTTGGTCAAGATCCCTTCTTTTCGCAACTTCCATTTCTGCTTCTGGTAATCACCATTTGTTACTCTCTGCTTCTATAAATTCAAATTTTTAGAGTCCATGCATAAGTGAGGCAAGGTGAGATCATGCAATCAAGGTATTTTCTTTCTTTTTAAGCTTATGTCACTTAACAATAGTGCCCTCACCTTGATCCATGTTGTCCCAAATGACAAAATTTCCTGTATGAAGGCTGAATAATAACAGTGTAGTAATTTTCTGTTCCAGGCTCTGTTGATGGTCAGGTTGCTCCTGTATTTTGGCTGTTACAAATAATGTGCCAGTCAACCTGGGAGTGCAGATAAGTTGTCTGCTGATTTTGTTCTGGATATATATGGAGAAGTAGAATTGCTAGGTTATATGGTAATTCTATTTTTGATCTTTTGGAGAAACTTTCATACTGTTTTTCATACTTGCTTCTCCAACATTTCCACCAACAGTGTACAGTCATTCCCTTTCCTACATTACCCCCAACATTCATTATTTTTTGTCTTATTTATTTATTATTTATTTTGTTGTTATTGCTTTGTTTTGTTGTGCTGGAGACTGAACTCAGGGGTGCTGTACCACTGACCTACATTCCCCACCCACCCTTTTAAATTTTTGAGACAGGGTCTTGCTAAGTTGCCCAGGCTGGCCTTGAACTTGTGATCTGCAGCCTTCCCAGTAGCTGAGATTAGAGGTGTGCACCACCATGCTTGACCTGTCTTTTTTATAAGAGTCATCCTAATGTGTGGGGGTAATATCTCATTGTGATTTTTAGTTGTATTTCCCTGTTGAGCACCTTTTCATATAACTGTTGGCTACTTGATGTCTGCTTTGGAAAAAGATCTGTGCAGGTTCTTTACCCGTTTTTTTCATAAATAATAGAAATTTATTTCTCACAGATCTGGATGTCAGGAATTCCAAGATCAAGGTGCCAGCAGATTCCATGCCTGGTAAGGGCTGCTCTCTCTGTTTCCAGGGTAAGTTGCCTTGTTACTTTATCCTCACATGGCAAAAGATGGAAGTGCAAAAGGAGAGAAACACTAATTCCCTCCAGCCCTTTTATAAGGTGGTTAAATACACCTCATGACTTAATCACCCTTGTGAATGTCCCACTTCATTTTTTAAATATATTTTTATTTCTAATTGACACATAGTAACTGTATACATTCATTGGGTACAGTGTGCCATTTTAATACGTGTATACAGGTATAATGATCAGATCAGGGTAATTGGCATATCTATCAGCTCAGACATTTAAAAATCCTCTATACTAGCTGTTTTGAAATATTCAATTAAATATTGTCAATCATAGTTATCCTGCAGTGCTATAGAACACTAGAAGCTATTCTTATCTAACGTTACCTGTTTACCCTCTAAACCCATTAACCACCCTCCCTCCACCCACCCATCCCTGATACCAAGCTCTGGTAACCACTATTCTGTTCTGTGCTTCTTTAAGATCAGCTTTTTAGCTTCTGAATGCCTGACTTGTTTCCCTTGGCATAAAGTTATTCTGTTCCATCCATGTTGCTGCAAATAATGGATTTTATTCTTTTCTACGACTCAATAATATTCCATTGTGCATATTTTTATTTTCCATTTATCTGTCCATGGACACCTAGTTTAATTCTATGTTTTGGCTATTATGAATAGTGCTGCAATAAACAAGAGAGTGCAGATATCTCTTTGATACACTGATTTAAATTCCTTTGGATATATATACCCAGTAGTAGAATCACAGGATCATATGCTAGTTCTATGTCCAGATTTTTAAGGAAACTTCACACTGTTTTCCACAATTGCTGAACTAAATTTACTTTTTCACCAATAGTATATTCTTACCAGCATTCTTTTTCTTTTTGTTAATAACAGTTATAACAATGAAATGATATCTCATTGTGGTTTTCATTTGCATATATCTGAAGAATGGAAAGCATTGTTTCATATATTTGCCAGCCATTTATATATCCTCTTTCAACAAATTACAAAAGGTAATTTGCTCATTCTTAAATTGGATTATTTGGGCTTCACTGTTGAGCTGTTTGAGTTTCTTATATACTCTGAGAATTAATCCCTTGTCAGATGAGTTAGTTTTCAATATTTTTCTCCCATTCTGTAGGTTGTCTCCTCATTCTGTTGATATTTTTCCTTTTTTATACAGAAGATTTTTAGTTTGAAGGGATACAATTTATCAATTTTTGCTTTTGAGGCCTGTGTTTCTGGGGTCATATAAAAAAAAAAAAACTGCCCAGATAAATATCCTGAATTATTCTCTTCGTTTTTTTTTTTTCCTTCTAGTAGTTTCATGCCTTACATTTAAATCTGATCCATTTTGAGTTGATTTTCATATAGGGTGAGAAGTAAGGATCTGATTTCTTTCTTTTATATGGATATCCAGTTTACCTGGGCTGTTTGTTGAAGAGATTTTATTTTCTTCAATGTATTTTTTTTTTACTGCCTTTTTGGAAAATCAGTTGGTAGTAAATATGTGGGTTTATTTCTGGATTCTCTATTTCTGTTGGTCTCTGTGCCTGTTTTTATGCCAATATCATACTGTTTTAGTTATCATGGCCATTTAGTATATTTTAAAGTGATATATTATAATGCCTTCAGTCTTTTCCCCCTCTTTCAGGATTCCATTGATCACTCAGTGTCATTTGTGGTTTCATACACATTCTAGTTTTTTTCTTATTCTTATGAAGAATATCTTTGATGTTTTGATAGGAATTGCATTAAATCCATAGATTACTTTGGGTGGTTCAGACATGTTTTTTTTTTAAAGAGAGAGAGAGAGAGAGAGAGAATTTTAATATTTATTTTTTAGTTTTTGGCAGACACAACATCTTTGTTTGTATGTGGTACTGAGGATCGAACCCGGGCCGCACGCATGCCAGGAGAGCGCGCTACCACTTGAGCCACATCCCCAGCCCCTGGTTCAGACATTTTGAGAATATTCTTCCTTTCCAGGAACATGGGACATCTTCCATCCTGTGCATTTGTCCTCTTTGATTTCTTTCATCAGTATTTGTAATTTTCATTGCAGAAATTTTTACTTGCTTTGTTACATTTATTACTAAGTACTATTTGTAGCTATTACAAATGGGATTTCTTTCTTAACAATTTTTTTATGTTTATTTTCTATCCTGCAGCTTTTCTGAATTTGTTTATCAGTTCTAACTATTGTGTGGTGAAGTCAGATTTTTCCATACATGACATTATATCATCTGAAAACTAGTATTGTTTGACCTCCTCCTTTCCTATTTGAATTCTTTTTATTTATTTATCTTGTCTTATTGCTGTGGCTAAGACTAACAATAGTGTCTGTATATGTGTGTGTGTGTGTATTTTAAGACAGCATCTCACTGTGTTATCCAGGCTGTTCTCAAACTCCTAGACTCTAGTAATCCTTCTGGCTCAGCTTCCTGGTTAGCTGGGACTACAGTTGCACACCAATTCTGTACTGAATAAAAATGATGAAAATAGACATCCTTGTCTTATTCCTGATCTTAGAAGGAAAATTTTTAGTTTTACCCCATCCATTCAACATGATATAGGTTGCAGATTTTCCATATGCAGATATTATTGTGTTGAGGTATATTCTGTCTACACCTAAATTTGTTTAGAGTTTTTATCATGAAGTGATATGGAATTTTATGAAATGCATTTTCTTTATCTATGGGGATGTTCATATAGTTTCAAACTTCATTCTATTGATCAATGTACTATGTTTATCAGTTTGCTTATATGAACCATCCTTGCATTCCTGGTATAAATCCCATTTTGGTCATAGTGTAGTTGGATTCAGTTTTCTTGTATTTTGGTGCATTTTTAGGTGCAGTTGGATTCAGTTTTCTTGTATTTTGTTGAGAATTTTTGCATCTCAATTTATTAGACATATTGACCTGTATTTTTCTTTCTTTCTATGTCCTTATCTGGCTTTGGCATAAAAATACTGCTTGCCTCATAGAATGAGTTTGGAAGTGTTCCTGCCTCCCAGTTCTTTGGATTAGTTTGACAAGAATTAG